ACCACATCTAACGAAAGGTAAACTGCAATATATTACATTGTTGCTATTTTGTTTAGAGATACTTTAAATGTATGACCCTGGGAAGATATTTTTTTTAATTAATTTACTTCCTCAAATTTGCTGTAGCCGAAAAAAAAAAAAAAAGAATTAAGCTATACAGACATTGATATTCAAACAACCAAATCCCATCACTGTTCTCAAATATTTTATTAAGCTTTGTTGTTATACCCAGAAGTAGGTAAACAGTAATTTTAGATGTTAGCTGTTCAAATAATGATTATGGGATTGAAGTGGAATGGACAGCTCTAGATGATGCCTGAAATAATCTCTGTATGGTTAGACAACTGGAACTGCATCCACTTCCTGACTTTGTTATATGTTAAAAAAAATCGGAAGAATATATTTAAAAATATATATATATTTTTTTTTTAAATTATATATTTTTTAAATACATTCTTCAGATTTTTTTAACATATAAAAAAGTCATTTCAACATATATTGTTACATATATTTGTAAATACATTCCAAAAATGTAGATTTGTATTTTTAAAGACATGCAGTATATTTTATATTATATATATATATTCTCATATGGAAGAAAAATATATTTGAAATGCATTTTAAAAATATTCTTCCCAAATATTTGAAATGCTACAATTTTGGCCATATTCAATATATTTTAAAATATATTTCAATACACACATATATATATATATATATTTTTTCCCAAATATTTTGACATATATTTAAAATGCTACAATTTTGGCCATATTCTATATATTTTAAAATATATTTCAATACACACATATATATATATACAGTTGCAAGAAAAAGTATGTGAACCCCTTGGGATTACGTGGAGTTTTGCATGAAATTGGGCATTAAAATGTGCTCTGAACGTCATCTAAGTCACAACAATAGAAGAAGAATAAAGTCTGCTGAACATAATACTACACAAACATTAGATGTTGCCATGGTTTAATTGCACATAACATGTAAAAATTCACAGTACAGGGAGGAAAAAGTATGTGAGGCCCTAGCTTAATGACTTCTCCCAGAGCTAATTGGAGCCAGGAGTGAGCCAACCTTGACTCCAATCAGTGTGATGATATTGGATGTGTTGCTGACAGCTGTCCTGCCCTTAAAAAACACACACCTGTTTTTATTAGGTTTAATCTGGTTTCAAGAAGCACTGTCTGATGTGAACCATGCCTTGCAGAAAAGAGCTCTCAGAAGACCTACGATCAAGAATTGTTGACTTGCATGAAGCTGGAAAGAGTTACAAAAGTATCTCCAAAAGCCTTGATGTTCATGTGTTCACGGTAAGACAGACTGTCTACAAATGGAGAAAGTTTAGCAATGTTGCTACTCTCCCTAGGCGTGGTCGTCCTGTAAAAATGACTGCAAGAGCACAGCGCAGAATGCTGCATGAGGTAAAGAAGAATCCCAGAGTGTCAGCTAAAGACCTACAGAAATCTCTGGCACATGCTAACATTTTTGTTGACACATCTACAATAAGGAAAACATTAAACAAGAATGGAGTACATGGGAGGATACCACGGAGGAAGCCATTGCTGTCCAAAAATAATATTGCAGCACGTTTGAAGTTTGCAAAAGAGCACCTGGATGTTCCACAGCACTACTGGCAAAATATATATATGTGGACAGATGAAACCAAGATTGAGTTGTTTGGGAAGAACACAACAAACACTATGTATGGAGAAAAAAAGGCACAGCACACCAACATCAAAACCTCATCCCCACTGTTTAAACATGGTGGAGGGAGCATCATGGTTTGGGGCTGCTTTGCTGCCTCAGGGCCTGGACGGATTGTTTCATTGATGGGAAAATGAATTCCAGAGTTTATCAAGACATTTTGCAGGAAAACGTACGACCATCTGTCCGCCAACTGAAGCTCCGCAGAGGATGGGTGATGCAACAGGACAATGACCCAAAGCATACAAGTAATTCAACAAAACAATGGCTGCAACAGCACAGAATACGCCTTTCTGGAGTGGCCCAGTCAGAGTCCTGACCTCAACCCGATTGAAATGCTGAGGCATGACCTTAAGAGAGCGATTCACACCAGACATCCCAAGAATATTGCTACACTGAAACAGTTTTGTGAAAAGGAGTGGTCCAAAATGACTCCAGATGGTTGTGCAGGTCTGATCTGCAACTACAGGAAACGTTTGGTTGAGGTTATTGCTGCCAAAGGAGGGTCAACCAGTTATATAAGTCCAAAGGTTCACATACTTTTTCCTCCCTGCACTGTAATGTTTACATGTTATGTGCAATTTAAACCATGGCAACATCTAATGTTTGTGTAGTATTATATTCAGCAGACTGTGTTCTTCTATTGTTGTGACTTAGATGATGTTCAGACACACATTTTATGCCCAATTCATGCAAAACTCCACGTAATCCCAAAGGGTTCACATACTTTTTCTTGCAACTGTATATATATATTCTTCCCAAATATACTGACATATATTTAAAATGCTACAATTTTGGCCATATTCTATATATTTTAAAATATATTTTCAATACACACACACACATATATATATGTATATATATATATATATATATATATATATATATTTTAATATATTTCTTCCCAAATATATTGACATCTATTTGAAATGCTACAATTTTGGCCATATTCTATATATTTTAAAATATATTTCAATACACACACACACACAGATATGTATATATATATATATATATATATATTCTTCCCAAATATATTGACATATATTTAAAATGCTACTACAATTTTGGCCATATTCTATATATTTTAAAATATATTTTTCAATACACACACACACACACACACATATATATATATATATATATATATATATATATATATATATATATATATATGGCCAAAATTGTAGCATTTCAATTATATGTCAATATATTTGGGAAGAATATTTTTAAAATATATTTCAAATATATTTTTCTTCCACGTGGGAAGGAGGGACAGTAATGTGGTTCAAATTATGGGGGTTTTTTTTTTTTTAAATCTGGCTGAAGATCAAATTTAAATGAAGATTAAGCAAGATCAGTTACAAAGATGTAAGTGGTGCCATCATGGCTGCAAAAATATCATGAATAAATGTTTAATAAAGGTGCACCTTTAAGTGTTCGAGGCCAAATAAAGCATTTTAATACACAAGCCGTACATAAATATTTTTATAAGCCATCGACGTTTTTCCCAGCACTTAACACAAGGATAAACATTCAATGAAATTTAAGATCTGTTTAAAACAGAGAGAGGCCCCGCCCCTTTCATGAAGAGTATAAAATTCCGCTGGGTCCATGCTGAAGTACATCTGAGGAGCATCAGACTACAAAGAGGTAAGTCAAAGATTACATTGATCCTGTCTGGGAATCTGGGAATATGCTCTGGAAATGAAGTAGATGGGAAGATGGAGAAAGAGGTAGATGATAGTCCCATGTTCAGATTGTTCCCACCATGGTCACCATGGAGCCTCTGATTGGTAGGGAGGCCTCTTCTGCTGCCAACTGGGGGTTCACCATGGTCACCCTGGGTTGCGTAGATAAACTTTCATTCGGAGATTGAAGCAACACACCAAAAAAGTTATATTCGATAGGAAGCTTACTGATTGGGTTTAGTAGTCAATGCATTTTAGGGGCTGAAATTGCACCCTTCATCAGGCCTCCAAGCAGCAGTTGAAGAGCATCTAAATGACCAGATTCCCCGGGATTTCCAGATTGTCAACCCTACACATTTTAAGCCCTGATGAAGGCGGTGATTTGTCCCCTGAAGCGTGTTGGCCGCTACACTCAGCCGATAAACTTCTTTCTGAATATGCCTTGATGGTGCGACGCTTCTATCTCCAGACCAGAGATTTCTCTCTGGGAACAAGACATTGGAGCCATCAATGGAAGACTCTATGGAAGACTCCAAAAAAAAAGGTCAAGGAGACCACCCACCATATAAAAGCCTCAGAAGGTTTATTGAGTCCTCCAACACACAGACCGATCCTTCCGATATACAGACCATCAAAACGCATTTCACTCATGAGTTTTATGAGGGTCTGTATATCGGATGGATTAGTCTGTGTTGGAGGACTCACTAAACTTTCTGAGCCTTTTAGATGGTGAGTGGTCCCCCCGTCTTCTTTTGGAACCTTCCACAGACTGTGATAGTAGTCGATGACTATAGGAACCTGCCCCCCCCCCCCAGGGCTAGTATGGATTCAGTGCCTGAGTGGACTATCTACTCTGCTACATTGGGCCTATCTAGTTTCCTCACATTGGTACAAGTTCCTAAAAATGAACATGTACTCGATTTTAAACTGTTGGATCAGGGGCGGACTGACAACTCATGGGGCCCCCGGGCAATATTGGATCATGGGGCCCCTGTGTCCTTGCCCACACTCAAAGTACAGCCAAAAAAGCCTATAAAAGGTACCAGGGGCATTTTATGAAGCCCCCTACTGACCCCGGGCCCTCAGGCAGTGCTCGAATGGTCAGTCCGCCCCTGTGTTGGATATCCTACCAGACATTAGACATTGCCCAATCTGGCTGGCTATTAAACTGCTTCTGTGATCCCCAACCCTACCAGCCTTATTTTCTTTGACTTCATGGCTGAGCTCCACCAACTGCCCTTTATCTATCCCAGTGGTCCCAAACTGGGCTTGGCCCTTTGTTTACCTTTATCTGGCCCTTGGGGCACTAATTCACCAACTGACACCAATGATTGGGCACCATTGCCTCTACTGACACCATCAATGGGCCACTATTCTTCTCATTGATAGCAACAATGGGGCACTATTCCTCCCATTAGAACCAGTGATGGGGCACTAATGCCCGGGCATTATGTACTCCCATTGGCTACAGTCCAGCCCCGCCTAAAGCCTGAAGGACAGTAAACTGGCCCATTGCTTAGAAAGTTCCATGAGTCACATGTGAGCAATAACCGAATACATATTTCAATTGTTTCTCAGAGTTCCGGTGACAACATGAAGACAATTCCTTTGCTGCTAGCTGGTGAGTTCTGTACAGTTTCTTACATGTCACAAAATAAATGAGGCTGGAAGACCTGAACAAATTCCTCTGTTTTCTTTTTTTTTTTTTTCAGTTTTATTTGCCATATTTGGCAAAGGATCTACATTTTCAGGTAACATACAAGAGCATATAAATACCTGTAAGAAATAAATATTATAGAAAATATATAATATTTATATAACATTTATTATTGTATAACATATAATTGTTTGGTGAGCCTGTTGAGTAGTCTTTCTGTAGAAGCTGTGGGGGAAACTCTAAGAAAAGATATCCATCTATAGATATATATTTATATATCTAGCAACATCAAATAATTATTGCCTGACAACTATTGCATGTCTGTTAACTACTACTGATTTACTATTGTTGTTATTATTATTAATAATAATAATATATGCTATAATATATACTACTACTAATATATTATTATTATTATTATTAATATATTATATTATTATTATTAATAATAATAATTATAATGTACACTTTAATATATACTACTAATATAATATTATTATTATTATTATTATTATTATTATTATTATTATTATTAATTATTATAATATACACTATAAAATATACTACTACTAATATAATATTATTATTATTATTATTATTATTATTATTTAATTAATTATAATATACACTATAAAATATACTACTACTAATATATATTATTATTATTGTTATTATTATTAATAATTATTATTATAAAATATACTAACTAATATAATATTAATTAATTATTAATAATAATAATAATAAATCAGTAGTAGTTGCCAGATTAGTTAAAGATATTTATATTATTATTATTATTAGTTGTAGTAGCATTGTATTAAATGTTATTTTATGAATATTAATATGATAAGAATTGGTTGAATGATGCTAATAAAAAAAAAAATCTCATTTACATTACATAAAGAAGGAGTGTGTTTTGTAGTTCACAGAAGATGATCACATTAGTCAGAATATCAAGGACACTGGATTTCGCTCAGGATCAAAAGACATTTTTTTTACAGGATTTGCATAAAAATGTAAATGTGCTATCAAACTGAACTCTCTCTCTTTGTCTTTTTCTGTAGTTCCCTTCTTCTCCGGACCAGCAGGTTCCTAATTTTTTTGATGGTAGGTGACATACTGTAAATACAGAATATAGAGTTTGAGAGTGACAACCTAAAAGATGAAGCCAGATTGCCACGCCTACATTTTACAGTCTAAAAATATGTTTTATCCATTAGAATAATCTAAAATCATCCATTATAAGTGGATTCAATGTATTTTGGGGGGTTCAAGGATACCCCCCTTCATCAAGGATACCCCCCTTCATCAAGGATTCAAATATTAGTAGAATTCAAAACGTTGGACTTCGGGGTTTGGGGGGATCATCAGAAAGGAACGTATTGCTGTCCGGAATGCTCCTCAGCAGATCCACCTTTTGGCCTCTAGTAATACTTCAAAGGTATCCTCCTTGAACCCCTGACACGTATTGGCTACAGTTATTAGCTGCACATTGGCTGCACTTTTTTTTGGGTTCATCCTAATGGAACAAACGTAACATTTGAGTATGGTGTTCCTACTTGTCTATTGGTTCATTCTGAAATATTCTGTAGACCAGCAATCCTCCAACAGATTTCAGTGGAACCCTACGGGTTCCTCCAGAATTGTTGCTAGGAGTTCTTTGAGCTGCGGTTGATTGACCTCCCATCTGGTGGTGCCTGCTTAAATCCAGAACCAATGACCTTGGCAAAGCCAACAGTATGGCACCAATGATTTTGTTTAACTGTCTTTAAATGTGGCATTCTGGAGATCACCGTGAGGGTTGTAATTCTTCCTTCTGACCATCAATGATGAATTGGTTTTAGTAATGGTTCCCCGAGACTTGAAAAATATTTCAGGGGTTTTCTCTGAGTAAAAAGGTTGAGAAAAGCTGCTGAAGACCCTTCTAGGCCCTTCTAGGCCCGCCTGTCCCAGTATTAATGCACTCCTAGCTTCCAACCGTAATCTATCCCACAGAGTTAGACTTTACCTGGAGGTCCAGCACCATCTACCTATGGTTTTGTCAAGCTTTTAAAATGTATATAAAAAAAAAAAGTGAAATAGAAAATCCCGCAAACAGCGCTCTCGACCTTCTAATATACCAAAATTAATAAAATCAATATCTAGGTATATAAGTAAATATAAATGACATATATAAAAAATTTATTAAAAAATATAAACAATAAATAATAAATAAATTAAAATAAAACTGCCACCAAATAAAGTGCAAATATGTGGCAAAAAAAATTACAAGACGGATCTCTTTCCACTTTTCCTGTAGATTCGGCCCAAGAGCAACAACAGAATTCATACGGTAAGTAAAAAATAATTATATATAGAACATGTACGCTCACCGGCCACTATAGTAGGTCCACCTTTTCAATATTGTTGCTAATCAGCCAATCACATGGCAGCAACTCAATGCATTTAGGCATCTAGACGTTGTGAAGACAACTTGCTGAAGTTCAAACCGAGCACCAGAATGGGGAAGAAAAGGGATTTAAGTGACTTTGAACCTGACATTGGTTGTTGGTTTCAGGCGGGCTGGTCTGAGGATTTCAAAACCTGCTGATCTACTGACCATCTCTAGGGTTTACAGAGAATGGGCCGAAAAAGAGAAAATATCCAGTGAGTGGCAGTTGTGTGGAGGAAAATGCCTTGTTGATGTCAGAGAAAAATGGGCAGACCTCTGAGCAGGGGCAGACTGACAAATACATGGGGCCCCTGGGCAATAGGGGATCATGGGGACCCTGTGTCCTCGCCCACATACAAACCACACCCAAAAAAGCCAAAAAAGGGACATCTCATTAAAGGTAAATACCCAAATGGACATGCTCATGGGAATGTTATTTTTAACCTACTATTTTTTTATTAAGGCGGTTTCTGAATTAACCTGGTACTAGAGAGGTGGACCTCTTTATTTTATTTTAATCTTTTTTTTTGTTGCCCTTTAGGCTAAATTTAATTATTTTATTGTCGGTATTTCTACATGGACAGTAGACATTTCAAAGTTTTACCTAAGGTCCCTTATCATAGCTAATAATTCACACTTCCGCGCTATATAGGTTTAAAATGTCATTAAAAATTACGCAAAAAAATAATACATAAATCAATACTAAAGAACTAAAGAAAAAAAAAGTACAGTGCTGCAAATACAAAACTCAACTAAACAAAAAAATATATATATAATAAATGAAAATAACAAATGATAATGTCCAATAATGTAATATAATAATATTATTATTATTATTTATTATAATAATGTTAATGATAAATATAATATACACTAATAAATATACTACTACTAATATAATATTATTATTATTGTTATTATCATTATTATTATTAATAAAATAATAATAATAATAATATTATATTAGCCGTAGTATATATTATAGTGTATATTATAAATTATAATATTATTTATTGTCAGTATTTCTACAGTGCTTTACATAGTAGACATTCGCATCAGTTCATGCCCTCGAGGAACGTACAATCTAAGGTCCGTCTATCATAGGATTAATAATTCGACACTTCCGCGCTATATAGGTTTAAATGTCATTAAAAATTACAAAAAAAAGTAACCAGCGCAGTATCGCAGGTATCAGTACATAAAGCTACTAAAGAAAAAAAAAGTACGGCGCTGCAAATACAAAACTCAACTAAACAAAAAAAATATATATATAATAATGAAAATAACAAATGATAATGTCCAATAATGTAATATAATAATATTATTATTATTATTAATAATGTTAATGATAATATACACTATAATATATACTACGGCTAATATAATATTATTATATTTATTATTATTATTATTGTTATTATCATTATTATTATTAATAATAATATTATATTAGACATAGTATATATTATAGTGTATATTATAATTATTATTAATAATAATGATAATAATAATAATATTGTATTAGTAGTAGTATATATTATAGTGTATGTTATAATTAACATTATTAATAATAATAATAATAATAATAACAATAATAATAATATTATATTAGCCGTAGTATATATTATAGTGTATATTATAATTATTATTATTATTATTATTATTAATAATAATGATATTAACAATAATAATATATTGTATTAGTAGTAGCATATATTGTAGTGTATATTATAATATTATTATTATTATTATTATTATTATTATTAATAATGTTAATTATAATATACACTATAATATATACTACTACTAATACAATATTATTATAATTATTGTTATTATCATTATTATTAATAATAATAATTATTATAATATACACTATAATATATACTACGGCTAATATAATATTATTATTATTATTATTAATAATAGTAAAAAAAATACTAATATACACTAATATAATTCTAATAAACACTTGGCTTGATCTACAGAATTATGATGGGGGACCTTTGACGATTATGAATAAACATGCGATAGACAGTTTTAATTACCATGAAAGAGATTTCCCCTTGCCTCCTGTCCAGGGGGGAAGTTGTCAGACAGAACGGGAAGAGTAGAGAGATCTCCTCCACTAGGATGCTAACCTATTCAGACATCCATGGGCCAACCTATGTCAAGGGATCATGAATTCCTAAGGTCAAAGGTCTTGGTTTGTAAAATAAATGCCCACTTGACTTGATGTACAGAAGGATTATGATGGGGTTGGGGAACCTTTTATAATTACGAATAAGTATACGATAGACAATTTTTTCATCAATATTAATCAAATCAACACCGGGGGCGGACTGACAACTCATGGGGCCCCCGGGCAATAGGGGATCATGGGGCCCCTGTGTCCTTGCCCAAACTCAAAAAAAGCCTATGAAAAAAGGTACCAGGGGCATCTCATGGGGCCCCCTACTGACCCCGGGCCCTCGGGCAGTGCCCGAGTTTCCAAATGGTCAGTCCGCCCCTGGTCAACACAGAGTCTTGGGTGGCAGGTACTTTTTTTTTTTTGCTACTGAGAGGTCCTTGGTAGTGGGAAACAAATTAAACGTAGTATGTAGGTAAATAATGAAAGGCTGCAAAATTTATACACCCTGTTATATGTATAGGAATGTTAGGTGTCCTCTGATTATTTTATTTTGTGAATAATATTTAATCATTATTAACAGATATCCCAACCATTTCATAGTATGTATTGTGTATCATGTGAAATTCTAATTACTGTCGTACCAAACTGATGAATTTCTTTTTTTTTTTGTAGAATCCTCCCAACAGGAAGAGCAGATTTCATATGAAAATGATGGTACGTGCAAAATTAATAAGTATTGATACATAATAATAAGTATATTTTTTAGGGGTTTTTTTTGTACATTGGAATTTTTTTTCAAAATTAAGGTAAGTGGAAAATTATCCTCCCAAAGGGACCAGCAGATTCCATATGAAAATGATGGTAGGTGAAAAATAAAATAATTGATTGATAAGTATATTTTTTAGTATATTTTTTTTTTAGTTATTTTTGTACCACATTGGAATTTATTTTAAAAATTTTTTATTAAGGTAAGTGAAAAACGATCCTCCAAAAACCAGCAGATTTCATACCAGCAGATTTCAATATGAAAATTAATATAATTTTACGTGAAAAATAAATAAGTATTGATACATATGATTAAAAAGTATATTTTTTAGGGAGTTTTTATTTTTTTAGGTACATTGGAATTTATTTTAAAAATTAAGGTAAATGAAAAAACGATCCTCCAAAAAGGACCAGCAGATTTCATATGAAAATTATGGTACAAGAAAAATAAATAAGTATTGATACATAATAATAAGTATATTTTTTAGGGGTTTTATTTGGTACATTGGAATTTATTTTAAAAATTAAAGTAAAATGGGAAATGATTCTCCCAAAAGGACCAGCAGATTTCATATGAAAATGATGGTATGTGAAAAATTCATAAGTATTGATACATAATAATAAGTATATTTTTTTAAGGGGAGTTTTTTTGTACATTGGAATTTATTTTCAAAATTAAAGTAAGTGGGAAATGATTCTCCCAAAAGGACCAGCAGATTTTATATGAAAAATGCTGGTAGGTGAAAAATTAATAAGTATTGATACATAATAATAAGTAATATTTTTAGAGGTTTTTTTTGGTACATTGGAATTTATTTTAAAAATGAAGGTAAGTGGGAAATGATCCTCCCAAATGGACCAGCAGATTTCATATGAAAATGATGGTAGGTGAAAAAAAAATAAATATTGATATATTAAGTATATTTTTTTAGTTATTTTTGTACATTGGAATTTATTAGAAAAATTAAGGTAAGTGGAAAATGATCACATATCTAAGTATGTTATGTTAGTGGGGTTTTTTTTTTTGTTCTTTTTCAGTAATGGCTGTTAGACTTTAATTACTGAGTTTTTTTAGGGGTTTTTTTTGCTATTAAAGCAAAATACTAAATGGGTCTTGAAATGTTCTTATTTTCTTGAGTTGAATTATACATCTTTGTAGCAAAGAAAAAAATATCATTATTTGAAAGTACATTTAAATCCCAAACTTTTGTTTTTTACATAGAGGTTCAACCAATAGAAAGTAAATAAATAAAAAACAAATACCATATAAAACCTTCCATATACAGTATCCTATACACACAGTTGATTCAGAGGAAGACAAAAGAAAAACCTACAAAGCATGGTCTAATTTGAACCAGTGAGGGAAAAAATAAATTATTTCCTGATACCCCAGAAGGCAAATGGATATTTCCTGTATCAACAATCTCTGGTGTTACTACTGTAAAATATCAATTTTATTTAAAATTTTCTGCAGCACTTTTTTACCGCTTGTTTATACGAAAATAAAACCACCAAATACCATATGTGCACAAAATAATCAGTGCAAATAAATAATATTTTGTTTTTCTTTTTTTGGGGGGTATTTAATTGTTACTTGTGTGCTATAATTTGGAAAAAAAAAATTTTTTTAATTTTTTTTTTTTCTTTTTTTTCTGTGAAATAATGGAGCTAATGAGGAATGGGATTTAGACACAAGAATTGGTTTGGTTTAATAGAGCCTCTGTAGCTCTCAGGACCAGGGGCGGACTGACAACTCATGGGGCCCCCGGGCAATAGGGGATCATGGGGCCCCTGTGTCCTTGCCCACACTCAAAAAAGCCTATGAAAAAGGTACCAGGGGCATCTCATGGGGCCCCCTACTGACCCCAGGCCCTTAGGCAGTGCCCCCCCGAGTTTCCAAATGGTCAGTCCGCCCCTGCTCAGGAGTTATTTAAATCCATTGCTCCAACCACTCGTGTTTTCCTATTGACTACAATGCATTCTCTGAGATGCCAAAATTTTGGCAAAAATTCTAACTTTTTTAATGAAGTTTCAAGGAAATTAAAACTCTCAATTTCATTTTTTTTCTTATAAGCAACATAATCACGATTGAAATACTTTTCCATGTTCAGCTTTATGGCTGAATGGATGCAATATCAAGAATTTTATTAATACTGACTGATTTGTTTTTTTGTCCTTTTTGTGTTTTTTTTTTTTATTCCCCAGACGATATTCTTTATGCATTTGGGGAAGAACAAGGTGACAAGATAACCCCGGTAGGAGATGATGGCTGCTCCGAACAAGAACATCTCCAAGAAGAGTATAAATTCTTTGGGAAATCTTACAAGTGTCTGTATGTAAGTACAACTTTATTTAAGGTGGAACTCTTTTCGTAAGACTGATTTCCAGGCAGATATACAGTTGCAAGAAAAAGTATGTGAACCCCTTGAGATTACGTGGAGTTTTGCATGAATTGGGCATAAAATGTGTTCTGAACGTCATCTAAGTCACAACAATAGAAGAACACAGTCTGCTGAACATAATACTACTACACAAACATTAGATGTTGCCATAGTTTAATTGCACATAACATGTAAACATTCACAGTGCAGGGAGGAAAAAAGTATGTGAGGCCCGAGCTTAATGACTTCTCCCAGAGCTAATTGGAGCCAGGAGTGAGCCATCCTTGACTCCAATCAGTGTGGATGATATTGGATGTGTTGCTGACAGCTGTCCTGCCCTTAAATAACACACACCTGTTTTGGGTTTACTGGTTTCAAGAAGCACTGTCTGATGTGAACCATGCCTCGCAGAAAAGAGCTCTCAGAAGACCTACGATCAAGAATTGTTGACTTGCATGAAGCTGGAAAGGGTTACAAAAGTATCTCCAAAAGCCTTGATGTTCATGTGTCCACGGTAAGACAGACTGTCTACAAATGGAGAAAAAATTTAGCACTGTTGCTACTCTCCCTAGGCGAGGTCGTCCTGTAAAAATGACTGCAAGAGCACAGCGCAGAATGCTGCATGAGGTAAAGAAGAATCCCAGAGTGTCAGCTAAAGACCTACAGAAATCTCTGGCACATGCTAACATTTTTTGTTGACACGTCTATAATAAGGAAAACATTAAACAACAATGGAGTACATGGGAGGACACCAAGGAGGAAGCCATTGCTGTCCAGAAATAATATTGCAGCACGTTTGAAGTTTGCAAAAGAGCACCTGGATGTTCCACAGCACTACTGGCAAAATATACTGTGGACAGATGAAACCAAGATTGAGTTGTTTGGGAAGAACACACAACACTATGTGTGGAGAAAAAAAGGCACAGCACACCAACATCAAAACCTCATCCCCACTGTAAAACATGGCGGAGGGAGCATCATGGTTTAGGGCTGCTTGGCTGCCTCAGGGCTGGACGGATTGTTGTCATTGATGGGAAAATGAATTCCAGAGTTTATCAAGACATTTTGCAGGAAAACGTTACGACCATCTGTCCGCCAAATGAAGGTCCGCAGAGGATGGATGATGCAACAGGACAATGACCCAAAGCATACAAGTCATTCAACAAAACAATGGCTGCAACAGCACAGAATACGCCTTCTGGAGTGGCCCAGTCAGAGTCCTGACCTCAACCCGATTGAAATGCTGTGGCATGACCTTAAGAGAGCGATTCACACCAGACATCCCAAGAATATTGCTACACTGAAACAGTTTTGTGAAGAGGAGTGGTCCAAAATGGCTCCAGATTGTTGTGCAGGTCTGATCTGCAACTACAGGAAACGTTTGGTTGAGGTTATTGCTGCCAAGGGGAGGGTCAACCAGTTATTAAGTCCAAAGGTTCACATACTTTTTCCTCCCTGCACTGTGAATGTTTACATGGTATGTGCAATTAAACCATGGCAACATCTAATGTTTGTGTGTAGTATTATGTTCAGCAGACTGTGTTCTTCTATTGTTGTGACTTAGATGACATTCAGAGCACATTTTATGCCCAATTCATGCGCAAAACTCCACGTAATCCCAAGGGGTTCACATACTTTTTCTTGCAACTGTAATTGCCCCGGTTGTGCCATGTGCTGGTGAATTTCATGGCTGGTTGGACAGAAATGCAAATCCATTGGCAGATAAAATATAATTTTTTATATGTATTTCATCTGTATATTAAGCTGTTTAGCTGAGTTCAGTCAGCTTTTGACATATTCCTTTTCCTTTGGAGTTACCTGGCAGTCCCTCAAGGTGGTCACACTCAGCAAGCTGGTCTAGGCCTACCTCCATGCTGGAATTCTGCCATGACAAGCATTCTCTATCTATGCACGTTCCTCCCTGGAGCACATTTAATTGATTTATCTTTTTCTTTACAGGTGTGCAACAATGGTGTGATCTCCTTCAATAGCGCAGTGTGTCACAATACACACCCGATGCATTCCCCTTGACAGATGGGCAGGGCCTTTATCACACCACTCTGGGGGGACGTAGACAATGAGTTGGGAGGAACGGTGTACTACAGAGAGACCAAAGACCCCCGCACTCTGCAAAAGATCACATCTGATATGGCCATACATCTCCCACACCTTCATTATGCAGCAAAATGGGCCTACATCGTCACCTGGCATGACGTGGTCTTTTACGGGGCAGCTGTTAAAAAGGTAAGTGGTCCCCTAATGGGGCACTGAAGGGCTGCCATCAGTGGAAGAGAGAGGTCCTAAAACTATATCTTAACCTTGTCTATTAAATGTTTCAACGTCGACTTGTACACAATGTGATCTCTTTGGGATGCCTTGATTCTAAAGACGGACAACTGGATCTTAAAATGAAGGTTGACTTGGGTTGGGTTAGGCTCATTTACAAATGGATAGCCATAGAATCAAATTACAAATCAAATAGGGGTATACACACTGTATGGTCCAACTTATAATTGGGAAATTAAAATGGGGATATGGTAGGGTAGCAGGCGAGATTAGCAAGGTGGTCTTCTCCATGCTATCACACCATCATTCTCATTGGGCGTATAGCCCCTGTGCATGAGGCTCTGGCATTTAGGTGCAAGCAGAAGGCACACTGCTGGCAGCTGGGACAGGGTTGGATGGTGCGCCTCATGGTACAAATTTTTTAGAGCAGTATGTGCCCATCAACAAGTGCCTAGAATGCAAGCAGACTGTGTTCTGAGCATTCCTCCTTGGACCTCTTATAGAGTTTTATAGGCACTGGAGCCTAATGCACAGGGGGCTAAACATCTGGTATGCATGAGGCCATCTACAAACAAATACCAGAACATTCTGTTGAATCTAGGAACATTCCCATTTGGTGTGGTCCCAGTAAATTGCGTCCATGCATGTGGGATTACTGAGGACTTCTCTAACAGGGCATGTCAAGCTCATCACTGTCCTTCGCCCCTGGCATGTGGCCTTTAATCTCTGAAGGTGGCAAAACAGGCTGATATACTGTAGGTTTTTGTACGGGGGATAAACATCTGGTATGCATGAGGCCATTTACAAACAAATACCAGAACATTCTGTTGAATCTAGGAACATTCCCATTTGGTGGGTCCCAGTAAATTGCGTCCATGCTTGTGGGATTTCTGAGGACTTCTCTAACAGGGCATGCCAAGCTCATCACTGTCTGTCACCCCTGGCATGTGGCTTTTAATTTATGAAGATAGCAAAACAGGCTGATATAGGTTTTTTTATGGGGGCTAAACATCTGGTATGCATGAGGCCATCTACAAACATACACCAGAACCTTCTGTTGAATCTAGGAACATTCCCGTTTGGTGGGTCCCAGTAAATTGTGTCAATTCTTGTGAGATTACTGAGGACTTCTCTAACAGGGCATGTCAAGCTCATCATTGTCCTTTGCCCCTGGCATGTGGCCTTTAATTTCTGAAGGTGGGCAAAACAGGCTGATATAGGTTTTTGTATGGGGGCTAAACGTCTGGTATGCTGAGGCCATCTACAAACAGACATACCAGAACCTTCTGCTGAAACTAGGAACATTCCCGTTTGGTGGGTCCCAGCAAATTGCATCCATGTCCATGCTTGGGGATTTTACTGAGGACTTCTCTAACAGGGCATGCCAAGCTCATCACTGTCCTTCCAACCCCTGGCATTTGGCTTTTAATTTCTGAAGATGGCAAAACAGGCTGATATAGGTTTTTGTGCAAATAACCACCCCAGAAAAAACTATATCCAGAATGAGTTTGCCCGAGAAGGTCTGCTACAATACTGAACAGGTGTGTGGAGAGTAAATACCTCCAGGGATCCTACTGGTCAACATGCTAACAGGGTTTGTTCATGAGCTTATTGCATTTGGTGGGTCCCAGCAAATTGCACTCATGCTTGTGGGATTTCTGAGGTCTTCTCTAACAGGGCATGCCAAGCTCATCACTGTCCTTCACCCCTGGCATGTGGCCTTTAATTTCTGAAGATAGCAAAACAGGCTGATATAGGTTTTTGTATGGGGGCTAAACGTCTGGTATGCATGAGGCCACATACAAACATACACTAGAACCTTCTGTTGAATCTTGGAAGATTCCCATTTGGTGGGTCCCTGCAAATTGTGTCCATGCTTGTGAGATTACTGAGGACTTCTCTAACAGGGCATGTCAAGCTCATCATTGTCCTTCACCCCTGGCATTTGGCTTTAATTTCTGAAGATGGCAAAACAGGCTGATATAGGTTTTTGTGCAAATAACCACCCAGATAAAAAACTATATCCAGAATGAGTTTGCCCAAGAAGGTCTGCTACAATACTGAACAGGTGTGGAGAGTAAATACCTCCGGGATCCTACTGGTCAACATGCTAACAGGGTTTGTTCATGAGCTTATTGCATTTGGTGGGTCCCAGCAAATTGCACCATGTTTGTGGGATTTCTGAGGACTTCTCTAAACAGGGCATTGCCAAGCTCATCATTGTCCTTTGCCCCTGGGATGTGGCTTTTAATTTCTGAAGATGGCAAAACAGGCTGATATAGGTTCTTGAAATAACCACCCCAGATAAAACTATATCCAGAATGAGTTTGCCCGAGAAGGTCTGCTACAATACTGAACAGGTGTGTGGAGAGTAAATACTGTCTGGGGATCCTACTGTCAACATGCTAACAGGGTTTGTTCATGAGCTTATTGCATAAAAATGGAAGAGGGTTCATGATAAACTCTCCTAGGTGTCAGAAAACCAAGGTCAGTCGGTGTGAAAATAACTGTTAGTAAGATAGAAGAACTTCATTGAGTTGCATTCGAAGAAAACAAAAGTTGACACGTTTCAGGTGCCTTCACCAGGACTTCGCAGTTGCTACTTTTTTCATTTTCGATATTTATATTATTTTTTACTGATAATTGTTTGGCTATAAAATCCTATCCATACTAGGTGTCAAATATACTATTATATTTTATCTATAGCTTACTAATTATTGTCATGTACCATGAGCTGTAGAGATCATAATTTTTAGTAGGGGATCCTTGAATTATTTTTAGGGATCCTCTGTGGTAAGAAGGTTTAAAGGCTGTAGAATAGAATTATATCATTTATATACAGTATATGTTGTTGTTCTTGTCATCCAGAGAAACACATTCCAGGCTGCCCTGACCAGCGATGGATTCCAGTTTTTTGTCATCCTGAATTACCAAAAAATCCAGTGGACAACCGGAACGGCCAGTGAAGGAGACCCTAACACCGGTTTGGGTGGCACCCCAGCTCAGGTACCACTTATTCAGTTACTATATCAGTACAAATTAAAAAAAAAAATTCAAGACAGAATTTTCAAATATTTATATATAGTAATATTTGAAGATGTTTAGCTCTGTGGTAGATGCAGTTTCAAGTGAGTTCATGCCAGTCAGGAAATATATTTCAGGGCTTGGTAGCCCACTTTTATTAAAAGGAAAGGCAAAAGACAAAAACAAAAGTCCAACATCAGCTTTCCCACGCGGGGGTTCTTCTCCAGTTGTAAAGCCAAATGAAAAATACCAAGCCTCCTGGCTACTTCTCATTAGCACTGCGGGTCAGCTGTACCTCTGCCGGTATGGGTCTCCCAGACCATTGGCTATTCCCAGCACACAGCGTTGGACTCTTTTAGGCTAGGTTCACATCTGTACGGGTGGTGCACGAAAATCCATGCAGCCGCACCACCTGCACAGAGGAATGCGGACCCAAGGTTGGGTTCCATTAATTCTAATGGCACGCCGCCCGCACTGGAAAACGCAACCGTACTGGGAAACGAGGTTCCCGTGCGGGCTGCATTTTCGGAAGAAGTGCAGGGACTTCTTCCCTGCATGTCACGGGGCATGGAAGACCATTCAAATGAATGAGCTCTCATGCCCGTGCAAAACCTGGTCCATACGGCCTCATACATGTGAACCGGGGGTTAAACAGAACGCACACAGCTTTTAGCCCTTCTGATGCCCACAGTGTCTGTCTCACACAGAGACTCATAATGGCAGCCATAGCTCCAACTGCACTCCACTTCCCCCTGCGACTCTCCGCAGACCATCATTATAAGGGATGTGAGCACCTGGGCCCACACCCTGCTGGTTGACTACAAACTACAAAACCTGGGTTGGAGCAGGGGCGGACTGACATCTCATGGGGCTCCCCAGGCAATAGGGGATCATGGGGCCCCTGTGTCCTTGCCCAAACTCAATAAAGCCTATGAAAAAAGTACCAGGGGCATCTCATGGGGCCCCCTACTGACCGAGTTTCCAAATGGTCAGTCTGCCCCTGGGTTGGAGATTTCATCCAAGACACTATGGCACAGGTGTCAAACTGGCGGTCCTCCAGCTGTTGCCAAACTACAAGTCCCACGAGGCATTGCAAGATTGACAGTTACAAGCATGACTCCCAAAGGCAGAGGCATGATGGGGCTTAATTTCGCAACAGCTGGTGGGCCACCAGTTTGACATCCTTGACCTATGGAATCTCCAGACTAGAGAGCCACTAGAGAATCCAAGACACTATGGCACAGGTCTCAAACTGGCGGCCCTCACGCTGTTGCCAAACTACAAGTCCCACGAGGCATTGCAAGATTGACAGTTACAAGCATGACTCCCAAAGGCGGAGGCATGATGGGACTTAATTTCGCAACAGCTGGAGGGCCATCAGTTTGACACCCTTGACCTATGGAATCTCCAGACTAGAGAGCTCCTAGGGAGTCCAAGACACTATGGCACAGATCTCAAACTGGCGGCCCTCCAGCTGTTGCCAAACTACAAGTCCCATGAGGCATTGCAAGATTGACAGTTACAAGCATGACTTCCAAAGGCAGAGGCATGATGGGACTTCATTTTTTTGCAACAGCTGGAGGGCTGCCAGTTTGAGACCCCTGACCTATGGAATCTCCAGACTAGGGAGACCCTAGGGAGTCCAAGACACTATGGCACAGGTCTCAAACAGGCGGCCCTCCAGCTGTTGCCAAACTACAAGTCCCATGAGGCATTGCAAGATTGACAGTTACAAGCATGACTCCCAAAGGCAGAGGCATGATGGGACTTCATTTCGCAACAGCTGGAGGGCCACCAGTTTGACACCCCTGACCTATGGAATCTCCAGACTAGAGAGCCCCTAGGGAGTCCAAGACACTATGGCACAGGTCTCAAACTGGCGGCCCTCCAGCTGTTGCCAAACTACAAGTCCCACAAGACATTGCAAGATTGACAGTTACAAGCATGACTCCCAAAGGCAGAGGCATGATGGGACTTCATTTCGCAACAGCTGGAGGGCCGCCAATTTGACACCCTTGACCTATGGAATCTCCAGACTAGGGAGCCCCATCCAAGACTACCAAAACCTGGAGAAAGCTGCAAAAGAAGTCTTCTCCATTCAGAACATCCCTAGTTCTCTAGTTCTGCAAACCCTGTGTCCTTTTGCTGACCACTTACGCCATGACAGAACCTCATACTGTCACTATATATATATATATATATATATACTGTATACATGTGTGCGCACACATGTGGAACATTCCTTTAAAAACATTCGATGAAACGAATTTGAAGTCATTTTAATTACTCTTTAACTTGGTTGCATCTCAATGTAAATGTGTCCCGAGAGCCAATGACAGTTCATTACCGCATGTCGTTTCCCAGGCTGGATTTAACAGCGGCGATAACACCAACTACTTCAACATTCCTGGATCCAGAACCAACGAGGTGCTGAAAATCGCTTCCACGTCCAATGTCAACCGCCGTGGACGCTGGGTATTCCAAGTAGATGAATTTAAGGCTCCAGGAGGCTGCATCTTTCAAGGTATTTTGGGAAATGTAGCAAAATAGAGAATAATGCAAGCCATAGACGGGTCCGAAAACTGTCCGTTTTATAAAAAAAAAAAAAAAAAAACGGTCGTTCAATAGGTCGACGTTACCACCAACGGTAAAAAAAATCGGCCGATTTTCGTCCCGTCTACGGCCGGCATTTAATTACTTCTGTCCCTGCAGGAGCTCCGCTATTATATTTGACATGAAAAAGTCTTGCGGTTGCAACAATGTATCCATTTGTATCCATTTTGGAAACAGATGTTTTTATTCGGATACAAATAGATACATTGTTGCAACCGCAAGACTTTTTCATGTCAAATATAATGGCGGAATGAAATTCTTCTTTTTCTTCTTCTTCTTTTTCTTCTTCTTCTTCTTGCAGGTCACGGCTCATGCGCAGATTTTTTATCAGTAAAAAAATCGGCCGATTTGCCCATCATTGCCAGGAAAATCGTCTGATCGGCAAAATCAGCCGATTTTTTTCCAACTTCACCAATAAAAAAAAGTGCCAAAACCCTGAAAAATGGCCGACCAATTAACCCATTAACAGTGCGAAAATCGACCGATTTTTTTTTTTTTTTGGGCCGAAAAATCGGCCGATTTTCGACCCGTCTATGGCCGGCATAACTGACCATGTGGTAATTTGGGGCATGATGGATCATTTTGATTGATTTCATTTAATTGTGTTTATTTATTTTTTTTTTATATATTATTATTTGTTCGGGGCTAACAAATGTTGATTTTATTTCAGTTAGATTATTTTTTATTCCTTAGTAAAATTACATTTCAAACTGACCGTTTGCAGTTAATAAGTTGGGAATGTAAGGCTACTCCTCCAGGTTCCTTGGACCTCTCCAGTACTATGCTGTGAATAGCCTAAACAACCTCTAGCATGAATAGACCATAATAGCAGGATATCAGATTACACACTTACAGATGAATGACTCAGAGCAGGTACTCACTACCCTCCGTGGTAACGGGAAAAACCCAACATTGTTCTGCAAATGGGATATGATGGATGCCACCCATTAATACAAACTTGTTTTGCTTCAGTCAGATTTGTTTTCCTTTTCATTAATTACATGAAACATATTTCAGATTAGACCACTTGCAGTAAGGCAAGGATTTAGGATTTCTGGAACCTCATTTAGTACTATGCTGTGAATTGCACATTACCTGTATAGACCTGAATAGGGGGATTTCAGATTACACCACTTACAGTAAGGAAAGGATTTCTGGAACCTCATTTAGTACTATGCTGTGAATTGCCTACATAGCCTGTATAGACCTGAATGATTTCAGATTACACACAGTACACATTGCTCTCCATCAACATGTCTGTTTTATTCATTTTTGCAGCAAAGTTTGCCAGCGAAGGAGTGCCGTTCTGGAAAGACTCCACCTGCAGCAGCAAGTGTCTCTGCCAGGACAACAAAGTGACCTGTGTGGCCAGGTCTGCCCTCCACCCAGCACCTGCGAGTTGTTGGGATCCTTCTACACCTGCAAAATCCAAGTAAAGGAACCAGAACCAGAACCAGAACCGGAGAAGACCTGCGTCTGAGAAAACCCGTGTCTCCTGGATCTCGGCCTAAAATCTCAACTTGATCCAATCCTCACTTGCGCAATACAGAAGGTCCTAAATCGAGCTTTCTGGAAAAAGGAAACGCCCAACCTGAAGGCGACCAGTCACAAAGCGCCGCGCTTTTTTAGGAGAAGCCTCTGATTCAAGCTGCGGGATCCCAAGTCCCTGTGGTGGAGCTTCCACCTGAGCCTTCTCCTGCCTTGCGACCGATTCTATCAAAAAATTGTCATTGTCTCTGAATAATTTGATCAGAATTTTCTTGGATCTCTGAATTTGCAGAATTTCTTGCTTTGCTTTCAATTAAATGCAATAAATCGATAAATTGAGATCAACTGTTGAGATGTCATTCGTTCTTCACACGGCCAGGCTTAGGAGAAGTGAAATAAAGAAACGGGTCTCACTGAAATTTATTGAATAAGATGTTTTAAATCACTTCAAACTGAAAATGTGTTTTTCGTACGATCGTCAGCTCCATCTAGTGGCCGTAATTCTGTGGGTTCAGGAAAGTGCCGCAACGTGCCACTAGATGGATCCGGAGATCATAGCGAAAATCAGGGGCGAACTGACAACTCATGGGGCCCCCGGGTAATAGGGGATCATGGGGTCCCTGTGTCCTTGCCCAAACTCAAAAAAAGCCTATGAAAAAGGCCCCCTACTGACCCCGGGCCCTCGAGCAGTGCTCGAGTTTCCAAATGGTCAGTCCGCCCCTGGCGAAAACACATATTAGACACATTACGGGGATTACTGCTGACCAGGGTGGACTGACAACTCTAAAATTCTATACCACATCAGAGTGAACCTGGACTAAATCTACATTTTTGGAATGCATTTACAAATGTTCGTAAAAATATATGTTAAAATGACTTTTTTATATGTTAAAAAAAACTCTGAAGAATATATTTAAAAAAGTATATTTTTAAATATATGTCTTTAGAAAATATATTTAAAATTTAAAATTTTTTTTAGAATACATGTTAAAATATATGTCACATATATCATTTTCTTTCTAAATATATTGGATATATATTTCTTTTCCATGTGGGCAGGCTGAGTAAAGGAGAAGACCTGTAAGTGTTACTGTACTGCAGCAGACTAAAATCAGGTCTCCTGCTCTGAAAGACAGGACCGTGCTGTCAAACAGCTGTGTAAATCCCAGGACTGAATGGACAATAATCCAAATCCTTTATCAGATAAAACATTTAGGGTTCTAAAGTAATCGGGTCGCTGGTGCGAATCCCAACCACGGCACCACCTGCCTGGAGTTTGCATGTTCTCCCTGTGACTGCGTGGGTTTCCTTTGGGTACACCGGGTTGCTCCCACACTCCAAAGACATGCTAGGAGGTTAATTGGATTCTGTGTAAATTGTCCCTAGTATGTGTATGTATGAATGTGAGTTAGGGACTTTAGATTGTACACACCTCGGGGGGCGGGGACTGATGTGAATGTACAATATATATGTATGTAAAGTGCTGGGTAAATTGACGGCGCTATAGAAGTACCTGAAATAAATAAATAAAAGGGGGTCAGCAGCAGGGGCGGACTGACCATTTGGAAACTCAGGCACTGCCCAAGGGCCCAGGGTCAGTAGGGGGCCCCATTAGATGCCCCTGGTACCTTTTTCATAGGCTTTTTTGAGTTTGGGCAAGGACACAGGGGCCCCATGATCCCCTATTACCCAGGGGGCCCCATGAGTTTGTCAGTCCACCCTGGATAGAAAGAAAGATAGATAGATAGATAGATAGATAGATAGATAGATAGATAGATAGATAATAGATAGATAGATAGATAGATAGATAGATAGATAGATAGATAGATAGATAGATAATAGATAGATAGATAGATAGATAGATAGATAATAGATAGATAGATAATAGATAGATAGATAGATAGATAGATAGATAGATAGATAGATAGATAGATAGATAGATAGATAGATAGATAGATAATAGATAGATAGATAGATAGATAGATAGATAGATAATAGATAGATAGATAGATAGATAATAGATAGATAGATAATAGATAGATAGATAATAGATAGATAGATAGATAGATAGATAGATAGATAGATAGATAGATAGATAGATAGATAATAGATAGATAGATAGATAGATAGATAGATAGATAGATAGATAGATAGATAGATAATAGATAGATAGATAGATAGATAGATAGATAGATAATAGATAGATAGATAGATAGATAGATAATAGATAGATAGATAGATAGATAGATAGATAGATAGATAGATAGATAATAGATAGATAGATAGATAGATAGATAGATAGATAGATAGATAGATAGATAATAGATAGATAATAGATAGATAGATAGATAGATAGATAGATAGATAGATAGATAGATAGATAGATAGATAATAGATAGATAGATAGATAGATAGATACATAGATAGATAGATAATAGATAATAGATAGATAGATAGATAGATAGATAGATAGATAGATAGATAATAGATAGATAGATAGATAGATAGATAGATAGATAGATAGATAAATAGATAGATAGATAGATAGATAGATAGATAGATAGATAGATAGATAGATAGATAGATAGATAGATAGATAGATAATAGATAGATAGATAGATAGATAGATAGATAATAGATAGATAGATAGATAGATAGATAATAGATAGATAGATAGATAATAGATAGATAGATAGATAGATAGATAGATAATAGATAGATAGATAGATAGATAGATAATAGATAGATAGATAATAGATAGATAATAGATAGATAGATAGATAGATAGATAGATAGATAGATAATAGATAGATAGATAGATAGATAGATAATAGATAGATAGATAGATAGATAGATAGATAGATAGATAGATAGATAGATAATGAATACGGTCAAAATTGTAGTATTTCAAATATATGTCAATATATTTCAGAAGGAAATGTAAAAAATATTTTAAAAATATATATTTTTCTTCCATGTGGGATGTGTGATCAGTGTGAAGGTAGCCTTAGACGCACAGTTGGGGGAGGCGGTAAAAATGCTCACTTAAGCCGCGTTTTTAGCACATAATATATATATATTGAATACGGCCAATCAGATTGTAGCATTTCAAATATATGTCAATATGTTTGGGAAGAAAATTTTTTAAATATATTTAAAATATATTTTTCTTCCACGTGGCTGTGATTGGACAGTGAAAGGAGAAGCAGCAGTTTGATCGGCTCTTCTCTCTCTCACTCTGCTCTCTCCTCTGATCAGCATGTTCCATAATGGTGGACTGATAGGTAAATCAGATTCAGGTTTTAGAAGTACTCAGAACTATTAAAAAAAAGAAAAAACATAATTAAGGCGCTAACAGCATGAACTCTCTATAAAGGTCATTGGGGTTTGGGATCTTTCATTCCACCTAGCAGGCAAAATGCGGTATCTTTTTCTGAAACACCGCAGAATAAACATACTGTAGTTCAACCACTAGATGGAGCTGAGACCATAGGAATGAATCTACCCACATGGAAGAAAAAATATATTTGAAATGTATTTTTAAAACATTCTTCCCAAATATATTGACATATATCTGAAATGCTACAATTTTGGCCATATTCGGATTTTATTGCTTTAAACCCACATGGAAGAAATATATATTTGAAAAATATTTGAAAAATATTCTTCCCAAATGTATTGACGTATATTTGCTACAATTTTGGCTGTATTCAATATATTTCAAAAATGGGCCCGACGGGAAGTGGTTAACTTTTAAGCTGTTTTTTTTTTTTTTTAATAATAGGGGAGGGGCCATGATATATCAATCATTAAGGTCTGCTTTCACCCCTGTGACAGCAGCCATGATGGTTCAACAGTTTATGCTCTTGACAGTTTTTTTTTTATGTAACCAAAAAATTAAAAAAAAATTTGTCAGTGACACCAAGTGAATGCTCATACGGGTGCTTTATACAGCAATTGTTGACAGCAGTTTAATCTACAACTAAAAAAAAAGATCCACTTTCTCAATGGGTGTCAGTTGTAACAATACCTCTTCTATCCTAAACCAAGCAGCAGTCATGAAGGATGGAATCCATATACATTCTACCGGAGCAAGAATTCGTTCCAGTAATATATTGCATGAAGCTGAGATCGAACTTTTAAGTTTCAAAACGTTGTCCAAAAGGATTCTCGTTGGACGCAGAGAGTAATGGCTATTTTGTGCCTATAATAATTTTTGCCTTCATGAACATTATTGTGAACTTTTGATGGGGGCAGGGGCGGACTGACCATTCGAGCACGAGGGCCCAGGGTCAGTAGGGGGCCCCATGACATGCCCCTGGTTACTTTTTTATAGGCTTTCTTGAGTGTTGGCAAGGACACAGGGGCCCCATGATCCCCTATTGCCCGGGGGCCCCATGAGTTGTCAGTCCTCCCCTGGATGGGGGTCTAAGTATAAGCCAGCCTTGGAATTATCTGGCCTTCATGTTAAATATCACTACAGGGCAGGGGCGGACTGACCATTGGGAAACTCGGGCACTGCCCAAGGGCCCGGGGTCAGTAGGGGGCCCCATGAGGTGCCCCTGGTACCTTTTTCATAGACTTTTTTGTGTTTGGGCAAGGACACAGGGGCCCCATGATCCCCTATTGCCCGGGGGCCCCATAAGTTGTCAGTCCGCCCCTGCTACAGGGGAATGTGACAAATAGCTCTGTGGGGGGGCGCCACTTCAAAAGACTGGATTGAGGTGAGGGGGATGGAAGGCAGCTAGAACTTCCTCTCTTTTTTTTAACAGCTGGTGAACTAAACTGACCAGAGTCCGGAGCCCACCCAGGGGCGTCCCTAGGGTTGGTGTCACCCGGTGCGGTAACACTTGGTGACACCCCCTCCGACGATCCCCGCGGAATGGATCGGATCTGTGGATTGAGCATAATGGATGGGACTCCGATCTATTATGCTCCCCAATCCGCAGATCCGATCCATCCTGCGGGGATCGTCGGCATGCAACTTATACG